TTGTAGGTAGGTAGGTACGTTTATTTTGCAGGAAAAGTATGCCATAGAATGTTATTCTTTCTTTTAGACTCTTGACATTTAAACTATAAAATTAGGAGTATTTTTAAAATGTCTCCAACGTTTACAATTTCATTGCTATTTTAGTGAAATTTTCAGGGTAGATAGATACACCATCAAAAACAAGCCCTTTCTTGCAATATAATTATACCACATTTCGCTTTATAGGTAAAAGAATTTGAATTGTTGATTATAATTAAATAAACATTATACCTACTTAATTATTATGTTGCAAAAAAATCTGCAACATCTTGTAATGGGTAATTAAGTGTAGGATTATAATAAGCAATGTCCAGGGCAATTATTAATCGAGATCACTACAGTATTTAACCATTACCTTGACTTGGTTGTACAAGAAAAAGTCGAATTTAATGATTCATCTCTCGACGGTGTGCAAATAAGAAACTATGATTTATATACAGGGTGTACTAAAAATTACATTACCAACGAATACGTTTTTATCTGAAAAAAAAATCGGGGAAATATACAGGGCGTTCAGAAAAGGGCACCACTCGTCTTATCATCGTAACAAAAGTACCTATAACTTTTAATAATCAGCTGTCAAACGCTTATGTTACAAACGAGTGTTTTTGAGAATAATGCTGGAAAATGTTAAAAAATTTCGATAAAAATAAACCATGGCTCGATTTGTTGTGTTGTTGGGTGTATTTCGAGAGGAAATCCTGGGTTGAGTTTTTACCGGTTTTCCAATAAACAGAATGAAGAAATAAATTGCATACAGTCTCTGTAAATATCAATTGTACCTATTAGATACAATAAATACACATTTTAGTGGCGATTAACGTGAAAAGTGTAAACATTCCAATTCAGTAAAAATCGTCAAACAAATAAGTCGTCTAAATTTAAACAGCATTTAGCATTATTAAAAGTGTTGATTAAGAAAGTCTCCACTCAACGGTAAAATACCATTATATTATGTATTATACCTATATAATATTATGTTGCCATGAATTCGTAGGTATATTTTGTTGTTTAAAATGCAGTTGTCGGCGTTTTTTAGAGAGCTCAAATATAAAAATGGTTGATTTTAAGGTTATGTTTGTGCAAAAATTATTTTTTACAAATTTCTTAAAAATGTCCAAACTTAAATATAAATTATATTAGGTAAAGTTATCATTAGTTAATTCTGCACCAACAAATGTACTTACCGAATTGGATCCTTTGGCAAAACATGAAAATGCAACGATTTAGTTCTTGAATTTTATTTACAATTAAAAACACAATAATTCACCATGATCCCTTAGATAAAACACACACACTAACGTAACTATATAAGCTTTTAAGCGTTGAGTTTCTTAACCAATGATATAAGGAATAATCAATCGAAATCGAGTACTAAAAAAGTTTTTTAATTTTTTCCTTGCAACGTAAAACACAAATAACGTGCGCGATTTAGCTTTGCAATTGAACAAAATTTGTCGAGTAAGACTTCTGCCTTCCTCTCTTTTGTAAAAAAAACAATTTATTTAAAAATGATGTATAATCTGTGCTTTAAATGTATTGTTGACAATTCACGCAATGCATTCGAAGTCCACCAGATGGCGCGCGCCTTTCGAAAACCCGATACTTCTTTAGCGTATAATTTAAAATGTTTAAATTTTAAACAACAACATCGTGTAGGTAAGTAAAATTCACCGGGATATTTATGCAAAGTACATAACGTTAATTTTAAATTATTAGATAAAATTAACATAATTTCATCCTGTATACATATGCACAAATTTAGCAAAAAAGAAATTGCGGACGAAAAATGTTTATTGACGATTTATGGCTTTATCAGGGTTGTCATGGTAACGCGTTGCTATGGTGACCTGTTTGCATTTCCAAGGACACCGTCGCTAAGGGCGAGATTAGCAATAATGATTTAATTGTTTTTAATTTGCCGATTGTGTTTTGTTTTCTTAAGAATTATAATAAACAAATACACTTAAAATTGTAAAATAAATAAAAAGATTTTTAGTTAGTTTTGGTGCAGGTTGATTTTTTTTATAGAAGTTATTTAACTATTATTTATAAGGTAGTTTGGATTCATAATTGCATCTAATAAAATCAATACTTAATGGTGTTTACTTGGATCAAACTAAAAAGTAAATCAGCGGCGTATCTAAAGTATTAAAATAATTCTTATAATATTTATAAATGTAGATACGAGGTGTGTTCAGAAAATATCGGGAATTTTCGTTTTTTGAAACAAATATTTATTTATTCGTCCACATTAATGTTGTCGCCTTCAAAATAGTCCCCATTGTATATTATGCACATGTGCCAATACTCGAAACACTTCTAAAACTCGATCTTTGAGATAGCCTTTAGTTCTTTCAGCGATGCGCTTTTAATGTCATCTATGCTTGCAAAACGACGGCCCTTTAAGGTTCTCTTTATTTTTGGGAATGGGAAAAAGTCAGAGAGAGGCATGTCTGGCGAATGTGGAGGCTGGGGCATCATTACAGTATTGTTTTTGGCCAACAATTTTGTTCAAAATTTAACAATTTTAGAACAAATTTTGCTGCCACGCGTTTCTTACCCAAAACATTCGAAAAAATTTCATGGGATGAGCCAATCGATATACCAACATTATCAGCGACTTCTCTGATGGTTTATAAACATTTCTTTTACTTTTTCCATGTTTTTATCGGTTGTTAATGTGCTTGTGCGTTCGGGGCGTTCGTTATCTTCAACGTCTTCACGACCATCTTGGAAACTCTTATACCACTTGTAAAGTCTTGTTTTACATATAGCAGACTCACTATAGGCCTTTGTTAACATTTCACAGAATTTATTTCATTTTTTAAGCAAAATTGGATGCAAATTCTTTGATCCATTTCTTTTAACGAACGAAAAATCGCCGAGCTCATAAAACACGTCTAACCTTAACGGCTGCCACAGACAAAGTAAACAATGAAAACAGCTAAAGTTTTTATCATACTTCGGGGGCATGTATACCAACATAATAAAGAAAATTTTATGACAACCGGACCCTCCGAACCCGCAAAATTTAACAATTCCCGTTATTTTCTGAACACACCTCGTATACGCATATTGATTAATAAAAATTTAATATAATTATAAACAGGGCGATTCCTAAAATGTTCTAAATGTTTTTTTGACCGGAATAATTAATAATTTTACATAAAACAGCATAAGAACTTGACAAAATAAGGTGTTTTTAATTGCTTTTTTTAATGAAAAATAATCTAGTCAAGAAGATTTTAGACTTAAAAATACAAAAAGCACAAAAACATGCTTCGACTGAAAAAACGTCATGAAAATGATCACAAAGTGACGTCACACATAGTTGCCGGTTGCTTGCGATTATAATACAATACATTAATAAACCTAGCCAATATACGCCACTGGTTATTGATTGTAATTAACTGCGTTAGAGTGTTAATTAGTGTGTCAACAAATTTTCATTAAATTTGAAAATCCTTAATTTTGTTTTCAAACCTGATATATGTATGTAAAAAGGGATAAAAATATAATTACGAATTCCGAGTTAATTTTTATTAACTTTAACTAAAGTTGCAGAAGTATTTCCGGTGTCAGCCATGAAAGCCCTGAGGGCTTCTTGGGCCAGCTGAGTTTCTCTGTGAGGGGCCCTGGATATACTAAAATAAAATAATATACACTCACAGGCAAAATAATCGATCCACACAAATTTTCGATGAATTTCAATCGCAAATAACTTTTTTATTTGATGTCAGATTTAAACGAATATTACTTAAAGAATATTGTAGATAAATTAATGGACAATCGCTCACATTTTAAAAAATTACTAAAAAATAGACGTACTTTTATAATATACAGGTTTAAACAAAAATATGTTTTTTACCATAAGTTTAAGACATTATGTAGAGTGGCAAAACCGTATATTGTTCTAAATTAAGTTTTATTTATCAAGTCACATCTATTCTTAACAGTTTTGTTTTTGGTTCACCTCGATATATTTATTTTTGTGAAAAATATGGATTTAAAAAAAAAGCAATTTCCAATATTTTTCTGTATGAAGAACTAAGGTTGCTATGGTCCATCCATAGGCTTTGGAGAATGACAGTGACAGTTTTGTTGAATCATCCCATACTTGGACATGTCATACACGGCTTTCAAATTGTTTTTTGCAAATAAATGTTTAAATTTTGAGGTGTCTTCTTACTTTAAAAAATGGATATGTCTCCGAATGATGTTGCCACAGCCATTAATTTAATCCAGGATGGACGGTCACAGTATTAGGTGGCAAGTGTTTTAAACGTCACAAGAAGTAAAATACAAAGGGCAACATCAGTTGAAGACATTTTTAAAAGTAAAAAGACACCTCAAAATTAACACATTAATTTACAAAAAACAATTTGATAGCTTTTGAAAGCTGTATATGACATGTCCAAGTATGATTCAACAAAACTGTCACTGTCATCCTCCATAGGCTATGGATGGACCATAGCAACCTTAGTTCTTCATACAGGAAAAATATTGGAAATTGCAATGTTTTTTAAAAAAATTCATATTTTCCACAAAAATAACTATATCGAGGTGAACCAAAAACAAAACTGTTAAGAATAGATGTGACTTGATAAATAAACCTTAATTTAGAACAATATACGGTTTTACCACTCTACAGAGTGTCTTAAACTTATGGTAAAAAACATCTTTTTGTTTAAACCAGTATATTATAAACGTACGTCTATTTTTTAGTAATTTTTTAAAATGTGAGCGATTCTCCATTAATGTATCTACAATATTCTTTAATATTTGTTTAAATCCGAAAACAAATAAAAGAGTTATTTGCGATTGAAATTCATCGAAAATTTGCGTGGATCGATTATTTTGCCTGTGAGTGTATATATATTTTTTAAATTTTTTGCAGTAATAATTATAATTGATTTTGTGTATATTTTATTAAAAAAGATGTAGAAAACATTTCTTACTTGTAAAATGCGTCGATAGCTGGGCACAAAATTTTGATCCCCAACTCAGGATTTTGCTCGTCCAGGGCCTTAAATCCAATTTCATATTGTTCAAAGCACCATTTTAATTTGTTTATGTTTTCAGTTAAGTCGACGATATTTTCGCATTTTGGGCATTTCAGTTTTATGTTCGAAACTGGTAGGGTAAAATAGTTGATACATTTTTTGTTTGAGCATCTAAAATTATAAATTAGGGTGAGTTTCACGAAATGTTACGTTACAAGTGAATATAACAAGAAAATATTGCAAGACATTTAAGTCAGATATGCCTTGGAAAACTAACGTCATATATGACCAAACTATAGTTTATTTTATGCTTAAAACATAATTTGAAAACGTAAAATTCAGGGGAATGTTTTACCAGTATAAATGTTGTTTTGGGATTAATTTAAATAATTATGTAAGTACCAATTAACACATTAACACTGGATTTGTGACAAATAATTCAAAAGAATTTTGAATATACAGGGTGAAAAATTATTAGAGAACAAAAATCGAACAAAATTGATTTTTTTTCATTACAGCCCCATCTTCTTTTGAATATATAATTATTTTTCTGATTGTACCGGGTGAAATTAAAAAATAAAATAATGAAATAAAAAAAATTGACAATTTCACCGTTTTGAAAAATTTTCCATTTTTTTTTCGCCAAACAGTAGAGTGGTAGTAATAGACAAGAGGAAATTTTTTTATTTTTATACGAATATTTTTTTCTTGTAAATTTCGCATTAATTTTTATATAAATTAATGGCACGAGCAAAATTTCCAAGGAAAAATCTTGAGTAAATAAAAATCAAAATTTTTTTCAGGGTAAATTTTATCACGCGTGGTATTCGAAAATTGCCGATTCAATTTCTGTATGATTTTTTTGACCAAACCGCATATTTTTTAACATTTTAATTTTAAAATTAGAATCGTCAACATTGACAATTATTTTTTGCATAGCAACCAATTGGTTTCTTTTTTCGATTTTTTTTTGCCCGAATGGTATTTGACAAGGCTATTTCATGAGTAACAGTTAACAATTAAAATATAAATTGCAATTTTTGGTGACAACAGCTGTCAAGTTTTGCCGCGGGTAAACTCGAATAAACTGCTGACAGGTGCTGTCACACAGTGTTTCCACCTAGAAACCATTTGTAATTCGAAATTGCGCGTTTTTGATTGGTGAAAATTAAGACGAGGGAAATAGTCGCTGCAAAACTAAAAAAACCACTCGTTCTCTGAAATCTGATTGGTCCATAAAGCCCATGACCCCACTTTCCATTTGAAAAAAATTAATTTCTTTTCGGAATTTTTTTTAACAGATCCAACTAACTTATTCATATTTTTTTAAAGTATGATCTTTTTTACAATTTTTTATTTATTTCAAGTTCAGCAATTTAAAAATTATAACTAGATTGTTAAACAAAGCAGAAAAGGCTAATTAACTTGAGAAACTTCGTTCAATTTCTCATTTAAAACTTCAATACGTGACGTAGTTAATGTCTATACATTTGAAATTGGAAATAACTTTGCAGTGGCGGCTCGTGGGTGTATACGGATAAATTTTCACTTCACCCTACTAAACCATTATATATAAAATAAATAAACTAAAAAAACAAAGCGATCTTAAAGCCCGTTTCATATGGATGCGAATTGCGAAATGCGTTTGGCGAGAAAAGCGTTTGGCGGGAAAAGCGTTTCGACGTTTTGCCAGATTTTATTATTTTGTCATCTTTGGTCTAAATAATTAACATCTAGGTATTGACGCCTTAAAGGCAGGACCTCGTAAGATTTTTCAGTGGATTAGAACTTTAGAAGTTAAATCCACAGGAAAAAAATCTATAAAAATGTTGAAGCCGTGCATATGGAAATATCGGACAAAAACTTACTTGACCCTAGAGCCAACGTTGTCGAGTCCAGTACTAAGACTCGGCCAGTTTTGACGACATGCTTCGCACTGGCAAGAAAACCAGTATCTGGACGAAAGTGATCTCTGCCTTTCCGCCAAAGTTTTGCGTGTAAAGACGGGACCGTAGTTCTCGGCTACGACGTTATTAGGAGCTAGCGGTCTTAGCGCTTTAATAACGATTTTTTTCCCCACGAAATATCTTGCCACAGTTGGACAACAATCGTGGTTAAACAGAGAAACTGTGGGGTACACTGATACGCCAATGTAAGCGGCCCTGGATTCTCTAAAACGGTTTTCTGGGGTGTGTCTGGTTTCGTAAATCTCGTGAGCGTTAAACTGAAGCATCTGTAGGTGATACAATAGTAGTTCGCCGATTTTTAACTCTTGTTCTGAGGGATGAACTGAAAGTACATAATTAGGTTACAAGTGGTGTTTTTTGGAATGTTATTATACCTTTTTCTGTGTCTCCAAAGTAACCACTCTTCTGTAGACATCTCAACAAGAAAGCTGCCATCAAAGTCCTTTGTAAAAAGTCTTCAGGGCATCTTATAGTCGAGTTTGTACATAAGGAGTACACCTTTTCTTTCGATCTATCATTGTAGATATCCAAGATTTTTCCCAAACTATTTTGCGTAATCATCCTCAATGAAGTATGCGCCAATATGCTCATACCTGATCCTATCATTAGTTCCAAGTATTTACATTCGTATTGGTGGTATTTGGCTTCATCCCTGCATAGTGTGGAGCAAAAGGCTACGTTGGAGCAGTCCTGGCAAGCTATTGGTGCTAAGAACCTGAAAAGAACATCTTGAATTTGCGTATGAAAGATCTCTGGTCTAGTGATACCTTTCAAAACAGTGGTAACAATGCGTGCCAAACATTTCAGGAAGAAGACAAGCTGAATATGGCGACTCTACCACCAGGGTTTCCCCGGTTTTAACCCCTTCATTTGCCACCACATATCTACCTAACCCCTTAGCTCGTTTAACAGATATTTTTTTGGATGCATTCTGGTATTCCTTGTGTGGTCCACCTGTCAATGCCGGTTCAACTTTTCGATCCACTTTTTTCTTTACAGCATACTCTCGGTTTTTATCCGCTTCGAGATTTAGATTCTTCTTATCGCTACCCAAAAATTGTTCCGCAATTCGAAATGCTACATTGGATTTCTTCACCTCTTTTAAAGCTTTATAGCATATTCCCATACGCCAAAAAGCCTCAATTTTTAATGTACCCGGTAGGCCTTCCTTTAGAGCTAGCTGTAAGTCGTTTAGAGCCAAATCGTAGTCTGTTTCTTGAACTAAAATCTTGGATCTACCTAGGAGAGCTAGCACTAATGCATCACCTTTATTGGGCGCTCTTAATATACTTTGAGAGAACAATATCAACGATTTTTGCATATCATTATTTTTTGCTGCATTTTCGGCCTCTATACGCTTCGCTACCGAAATTTCCAACGATTTTTTACGGTAGATTTCTTGAACGTTGGATAAGACTCCCAAAACAGTATCTCTAGTCTAAAATGAACATATTTAACTTATAAACTGCTTATATTACCAAAATATTACCTCGGGTGCTTCATAAATGATCCGTATACGTTCTCTATCGGTTTTCAGCGCCCCAAAAACATTTTTTATCCAATTTTCGCCGGCCTTTTCGGCTACCAAGTCAGCAAATGTAAGAAAAAAGCCTTTTTCGTTGGTTTGTAGCGTTTTTTCGCTACATATCGACATGAAAGTCTTATCGGCGAATTGTTGATACATTTTCTTGCTAGTTGACACGCTTACTTACAGTACATACTCTTAAAAGAGAATAGAAATAGTTATTCTAATTTTAGATGGGCTATTTTTACTATTTGTATTTTAAAGTAAATAAAAAATCAAGAATATATGTAATAAAGTGTAATATGTAATTATATAACATTTGTAATGTCTTAAATTAATATAAAGCAGAAAAATGTTTAAAAACCCCAAGAATAACCCTTGAAATTACAACCTAAGAACGACACTTATGTTCCGTGAACAACACTACATACAGAAATCTGCATTAACATCGTGTTGACATTACAGAGAACTGTAATGTCAAAACAATTAAAACCTTAAAATCATATGATTTGATGTAAACAATGCAAAATAAAAAGATTTGTTAATTTAATTATACTTTGCTAATTACTAATCTGCATCGCGACTATGGCGTATCAGTTCATGAAGAATATAAAGCCAGAAAAATTGAATTTAGACACGAATCAAGCAGGTTTTAGCGAATTATTCGTTAAAAGTAAAGACAAACATGGTGTGATATTATTGGAGGATGTCGTTAAAATGGATTTACTGGATCAGTATGCTGAAAATGTCATCGAGTACACTAGCAGATTTAACTGCGCTAATAGTTTATCATATGCTCCAGCTAATATAACGGGAAAATACGTTGTTTATCCTTCGTATGGTGATTTCCCAGATGCCTATTTTTTGGTGTGTTAATCATAATGTATATTGTGAAAATATAATAAAGTCATTTTTAGAGGTCCTACGGTAAATGGTGGGTTGAACGGGCTGCATACCAAAAAGAGTATATGTTACAAGATTTGGATCCTTTGTCAGCTGAAGATTATATCACTATACAGTAGCATAATTAATATTAATTTTAAAAAGTGTTTATCATGATATTTCTTAGGTTTGAAATAGCTGTAATACCAAGGGATATATGTATATATGAGATATATAATCCAGGGGCTATAGTAAGAATATGGGGTAAAACAAATACTGGGGATAAATCATGGGTAGTATTGTGGGAAGGTCAACCGCAAATATGTCTGGATGTATCAAGGAAATTCCATCCACAAATCAAAATAATCAACAATCTTGTAAAGTAGGTTATTTAGGTTTATAAAAATATTTTTTCTAGTTTAATTAATTTTAGTACAATAAGGCTGGAATTCAACCAAAGTCATCTAAAATACCACACTTCCATTGATGCTGTGGTCCTTGGTGGTTATATACAGAGTGAATTAGTAAATGAAATCCTTAATGTACAACTTAAAGTTGAAAAAAATCAAAAACCTATTCAAAAACAAGAACAAATCAATGAAGTTTCAGATGGCAAAGTTTCCCCAGATTATTTTTCAGACCTACCTGTGAGTACCTAAGTATGTAAATTTACACTGTAATTTTATGTTTTATAAATTTTAGTATGAAGTTGTAATACATATTTTTCAATATTTGGACTTGAAATCCCTATTCTTATGTGCCCAAGTTAACAAAAGATGGTATGAGATATGCAATGACCCTGCATTATATCAAAACCTAAGCCTCAAGGTAAAAATAAATTTAAATTAGTTTTTTTCCATCTTGGGGCATTTTATATTTTCAGGGTTTACTATAGAAATACGCTCTTTTAATGGAACATATATATTTTCAGAGGTATTGGCATATAGTAAACAGTGAAGTATTAAAAACGTTTGAAAGTAAATGTAAAAACATAAAAAAATTGGACTTGTCTTGGTGTGGCAATGAAGATCCTACTTTTAAGGTTGCTTTTACATCGTGAGTTAACAAAAAATTAAAATATTTAATATTTAAAATTATTTTTTAAGTTTTTTGAGCGCCAGATGCAAAAATCTTACACATCTCTCACTGGGTAACTGTCATTTTGTTAAAAATGAGGTGATACAGTTTATAAGTCAGTGCAATGAATTGATTGGTATGTTATTAAACAAAAAAACATTTATTTACCTTAATTATGTCAGATTTAAGGTTAAAAAACACGCCGCATTGGCGTATTTCCAGATTGGACTGTTTAAATAAGTTGGTTTCATTGGATTTAACAAGCTCTTTAATACAAGATAACGATCTGATTCAAATATTAAAGTCAAATCCAAACTTGAAGCATTTAATCATAGGTAACTGCGTTAAAAATAACGAAGCAAGCTTTAAAACAAAAGATTGCAGATTTATGCGAGGATCTGAGGCGGCTAGATCACGTGGTGGAAGCGGCCGCGCAGTACACTAAAAAGCTGGAAACGTGGAGCTCGTGGAAGTCGCCTTCTTTGAGTTTCGAGGGGGCCAAACATTTTGGCGCCCTGGAAAATTTGACGGATCTCGACTTGGGTTGGTGTTTACTAACCACCCACCCCATCGATAGCCTCACGAAAATTGCCGAGGGATGCAAAAAGCTGAAAAGGTAGTTTATGGCGTTTATATGATTTCCAAGGTCATAAACGTCAAAATTTGTGATCTTGGATATTAAATTTGACGTTTGTGACCCTGAATTCACAAAATTTGACATTTAGTAGTTTTTTGAAAAGTATTTCGAGTCCATAATATTAATATTAAGAGGTCTATCATCGCAATTTTAATTTTTTTTCCTGAGCGAGTTTTTGTCTCAGAACTGCCAAACCATTAAGATATTTTTTTAAGAAAATTAAATGCTCTACAAAAAAGGTTAAGATGAAATTTTCCGTCAGATGAACCGTTTCCCTAAAATCATGCCTTGAAAATTGGTTTTACATTTTGATCTTTTAACTTTGGAATTTTGTAATTCATGTAAAAATCAGTACCGGAAAAAAACGATGAATATTCTTATGGAAAATCAAATGCTCTACAAAAAAAGTCTCCTAACATTTTTGGCTAAATTCACTCAATCAAAAGTTATTCAAGGTTAAAGTTGAAGTCAAAACGAAATTCTTGTTTTTTTCCTCTGTAGATTTATTTTTTTATAGATGATAATTTGATTTTTTTCTTTTGAAATGTGTATTATATAAATAATTAACAATTTCCAATAAAAAAACAACATGATTGTTATTATTTAAACGATTAAATAGGTAAGAGTGAAAATAGCTTCCTAAAGCGAAAAAACTCTGTTATTTTTTTTTATATTTAGTAATTTTATTAATAACATAAAGATTATCATCGATAAAAGAATTCAAGTTTTTAACTGACCCAAAAAAAAATCTAAAACGGAAAAAACAAGAATTTCGTTTTGACTTCAAATTTAACCTTGAATAACTTTTGATGGAGTGAATTTAGCCAAAAATGTTGGGAGACTTTTTTATAGAGCATTCAATTTTCTTCAAAAAATATTCTTAAGTCAATTTTGTTAAACTCAATGGTTTGGGAGTTCTGAGACAAAAACTCGTACAGGAAAAAAAAATATAAAATTGCGATCTCTTCATATTAATATTATGGACTCAAACTTTCACTATAATTTTTTTTTGTCACCCCAAACAATATTTTCGATATACTTAACAAAAAAAATAGTCGTTTTTTTTGGCCCAGTCTAATAAATTATTAGTAATAATACATGTTATAGGCTTATTTTATCCGAATGGAGAGGTGTTAACGATTCTTTATTGTTGCCAATAATTTTAAATTGTTCAGATTTGGAACAATTAGATTTGTTGGGAATAAGAAGTCTCTCTGCAGAAGTATGTGAGACAGCGTTGGTGACTCTTAAAAAATTAAGGCTTCTAGACATCAGTTTTTGTACTAGAATTGATCAAACACAGGTACAAAAATTTCAGAGAAAATTTAATTTTAAAGAAATAAAACAATTTTTTTTTAGGTTGAATTATGGAGGGAGAGGTTTCCCCATATAAACATACCAAGAAGCTGCCAATTCTTGGTGAATTATCTATAATAGGTGCTAAATTATTAATTGTTGTTTTTAAGAATATAAATAAATTATGAAACTTTGTATTTATGAAAAAATTATAATGTTACAAGAGAATTATTCGAAGAACTACTTTGAAACACTGGTTGGTACTCTGAACAGGGAGTTAAAGGCGTAGACGAGTCTTGTTCATGATCTCCTAGAAAGAAAAAAGTTATGTTAGTACACTGCCCGTCAAAATTAATGCATAAGTAAAAAAATTCCAACTCTAAAACGCCTCCACAAGCTTAAATCGGGCGTATGACAGGGCCCGGCGAAAAAATTCCGGGAGGGCCTTTAACCATTGAAACTGTCATTCACGACCTCCTTAGAGAGATTTACCAGCCGGGGTGAAAATTCGGATCCACCAAACACAGGATACGTATAAGAACTAAAAGTTGGTAAAACTAACTCTGGGAGATCAGTTTAAGGCGATGCCTCATTAGGGTGTCCCTTATTTTTATTTTTTTTACGCATACCCTCTAATTATATGTATTACGTGTTTATATACTCCCAGTAAAAATTTCAGCTCATTCTATAAACGGGAACCCGTGCCGACTTGCATCTGAACCCTCCGTTAGCCAACGTTAGGCGCGCGGTATTTTGTAACACGGTTGGTCGCGAGGTCTTCGATCGTAAGTCATTTTGTGTTTGTTATTATGTGACCCTTATATTATAAATTATTGACAAATGTTAAAATATAGTTTTATTTATGTGTATACTTTGATAAAAATGTATATTTTCACAGGGAGTGGCTAGTTACCCGGAAGGGTCTGGTGAATAGGCCGTAAACTCTGAAATTGATAAACTTAATGGGTTTTACTCTAAATAACTCAAAGAGTCTATTGTGAGAGATGACTACCGAAAACTTATTGAACTGTCTGAAATATTTTTGGGAGGACATCAAGAAAAGAAATGCTTATAAAAAGCTGAAATTTCATATAACAGTATATTTTAGCATATCTAATTAGTATATTAATATATTTAAAGGATAAAATCAACTAAATTAGTGAAACAAATGATAGAAACAAAAGCAGTAATATTAATTAGTAATCATATTTAATAAAATCATTAGAAAAATACAGTCATGAACTATATCTTCTTTTTAAAGTGTTTCGTGTTACAAAATACCGCGCGCGCCTAACGTTGGCTAACGGAGGGTTTAGATGCAAGTCGGCACGGGTTCCCGTTTATAGAATGAGCTAAAATTTTTACTGGGATCATATAAACAAGTAATAAATATAATTAGAGGGTATGCGTAAAAAAATAAAAATAAGGGACACCCTAATGCCTCATACTATGTTTTTGGCGTCTTTTAATAAAATTATATTTTTTGTAGCTCTTGTAAGAACAAACCTATTGCCCAAAGCGAACAACAAATACATTTATAAGGCGACATAAAATATTTACCTTCTTGCGGTTCTTCTATTTCTTCCATATATTTCATCAATAAATCGGGTAAATAAACAAAAGGCATGTGACTTTTTAAGTCGGTGTGCATGCAATACATCCCCTGTTGGTATTTGGACAAATCGAAGAGCGACGGTGGTTCCGATACGAAAATATTTTGCAAATCTTCCTGGAAATCCAAAGTTCTGAACACTTGGGGCGAAATCAAATCCGTTTCGTCTTTGGAGGGATACATTTTGAACTCTCCCGCCCTGATTATTTCGATGTTCAGTAAGGGCTGTTCGTTTTTCGTCGCCACATTTTCTATCTGTTTCAAAATGTAGTTCCCTTGTAACAGCTGTCTAAAAGATACAAAATGTATTTCTTGAGATGGCAAAATTAAACGTTAGAGGTAGCGATAGTGGTAAAAAGTTGACTATCGATAGCATCGATAGTGAGAAAAGCGAGTATCGATACTATCGATTAACTATCGATAGTTTACTAAAATTTCAAAACTATTTTATTAAAAAAATAAGGGGTTTATTTTTATAGTAGGGACATTTTCAACCTACCAAATACAGGAAAGTCAAAAATATAGTATAGTACATGGACCCTACACAAGGAGTCCGAACTTGTAAACAAGAATCTTCCTAAGATAAGGTGGTGTTCCGTTTTATTCACAATTGACTAATTTGTACCGAAACGCTACCAAAAGAGTAGGTACGCATCGACAATCAGCGCCGCTGGTGGTGAAAAGACTTAATTTGTTCAATTTAGAGGGCAGGTTTTGTCAATTTCCCCTATTAAGTTCGGGCTTCTTGTGTAAGCTCCATGGTATAGTATTTCAATATAAATATCTACCTTAGTTATTAAAACCTTAATATCAAAATCTATAATAACTATCGAGTTTCAAAACTTCAACAATAAAATAATTGACAGCACATATTTGAGACAGTTTACCGTTGGTAAATCTAGAGTCCCTAGATTTTGCCAACTAAAACCCCAAATTCTAATGACGTGAAATTCCGAATAAAAAAACAACGATAGTTATAATAATTTTTTTTGATTCTACTATCATTAGACGATAGTTTGCAACTATCGATAGAATCGATAATTCGATAGTTTTTAAAATATCGAAACTATCGATAATATCGCTACCTCTATTAAACGTAACCCATGTCGTACCCGAATGCCACGTATCGGTAGCTCATCCACTGCGCAGGATCGAGGCTGATGAAGAACTGCGCGGTGTTGTCGCGATGTCGCCCGGCGTTGCACATGCCCAGTACGCCTCTGCGATCGTGCGGTACCTTGTAGTTTTCGCAACGCTGGTCCTGCGCGTCCCAGCACCATCCCGCGCACTGTATCCAACTACCTTTTACTATCCTGTGCGATAAAAAATGTATTAGTGCGATTAACTAGATTTAACTGATAAAGCGTTAAAAATTTTGCGTACAGTGCCCATAAAACATTATCTTCTCTTTTACTGTTTGATTGTTAGTCTATTTTCAAGGGATACATTTTGATTTACACAGAAAAAATTAAGATTTTAACGCCGCACAGTGTTTCAATTCTCCAAATTTTCGGCAAAATATCAAGGAGTAGTCGGATTCTCCTAAAAATTCGTATATAGAGGTTTTTAGGGTCGCTGATAACAAATCTGGAATCAGAATTCCAAAATTCAAAATGGTAGATCCAAAATGGTGGACATATTTGTCAAAAAATTGACGGAATAAATTGAAAATCACCATACAGGGGTTTTTGTGGTCGCTGATAAGGAATCTGGAAACAGAATTCCAAAATTCAAAATGGACATTTTTATCAAATATTGTCAAAATTAATTAAAAATCCGTAAGAGGTTCTTTTTTAAATGTAATAAAACATCTTTTTATAAAATAGCTTAATTTAGTTTATTATAATTAAATTTATATGATATTATTTAATACCTACATATATATTAAACAATCTCCGTCACTGGATTCGCTCGTTGTATCATTAGCAGAGCATGGGAAACCATCAGAAGATAGCTAGTTTTATTGCTTCGCGGGACAAAGATTTTTCGGAGCAAATTTTCTGAAGCAAGAAATATACGGATCGGAAGATGCCATAAGCCAATGGAAAACATCTTCCATCGTTTTCTCCCGAGAAACTTTCAAAATTTATTTATAAAATTTAAATATAACAGATTTTATACTAAATATTTTAAATTTGTATTATTTCTTTTACTTAATATTTTAGCAACGATTTCTTAATTCGCTAAAAAATTGTCAACACAAATAAGCACAATTCAAATTTGACATTAACACACTACAATGCGCATGCGGAGTTGTTTTAACGCACCTACAAGAGGTGGGTTAAATATGTAAAATCGGTGTTAAATATCTTGATAGTCACGAACGATTTGCGCAAGTGAAAGTCTAGACACCGCTGTTGTAATAAACGTTTTGAGTTAAATCCGAGTGAATCGAGTAAACGTCATGAACACAACCCAGAAATAAAAAAAATCATATATTTTGCAAAGCAAAAACACACATACGCGCTCGACATAGGCTTAAAATCGCGAGGTTTTTTACTACAACTGTGCCTGAGCGCCCAAGAACATGTAGTTTTAAAGAGCCGGGGGCAAGTTGGGGCAGCTAATTTATTGATGGCTTGATAGACAAAACTCTAAGCTATTCAACGAATCTTGAACTGATGCCTTACAATTCATTACAATTTTTGTAGCTCCATTGTTCTAAAAGCTCGATTCAAAGTTTGCGATTTTAACAGACCGATCTTGCCGGTTACAATAACCCGTTGTACAAGAAAAATCTACGAAAAACAAATACATATATGAATTTTAGATACCTTGAAGATCACCCTTCATCAAACCGCATAACAATCGGACACACCAAACACAAGCTATTCACTTTTAAACAATAAACAATTTTTCGCAGCGATCGCGTGTAAAGTACCTTCAACTGAAAGCGTCAAGTTTAAACTGATGTACAAGACAAAATATACGTATTTTATATAATTTTTTTTCAATACAGAATGGATACAGGTAATAACTATCCATGTAACTCAAAATTTACCAGAAAAAAAAATGTTAATTTTTGAGGTTTGCCGATATTTTCCAGAATTAAAACACTGTGCGCCGGTAGATTCCCAAGTTGGAAATTCTAACGGGAATTCCAATAAATACAACTGTCACTTTTTGTACCTCAAACTTGATGCAAATATACTATTAAGATATTTATTTTTAATTTCTACTTACTAAAAACAGAAAAATAATATAAAATTACTAACCTGTGTATTTTTTTTCCAGCATAACCTTTTTCTCCAATATTTTCGCATTTTTTAATAAAATTTTCGCAAGTATTCGGTACCAAATCATTATACAACTAAAATATAACAATTTAACCTAAAACTAATATTATTTTTTTAATACAGGGTGCCCTATGTTTTCTTCTTTTTAAATCTTAAAAAAACGAATTGTTTTAAAGGAATATTTATATATCCAAGATATAAAAAAAAACAAAAAAAATCTGTTTTTTGTCAAAAATATTTGTTAAAGTTTATCAAAGTTTAAAACCCCTAAAGAATTGTCTGTTAAATTTAATTTATTGTAAATACTAAAGTAAGGAAAAGCAAAAAAAACATCGAAACACACACCTGTTCATTTTACTAAATTACTAAAAACACAAACCTCAAATAACATGGATCCAATTATTTTCCTATCTATTGCTACGGTCAAATACACTAGTTGTCTCTAAAAAATACACCAAAATATATTTTTGAACATCCTAAAATCATTTGTTTTCTTACATATCTGCTTGTGATACTCATCAATTGGTTGTTAACTTCTTGTATACCGAGTGTTTGCCAATTAAATGTTAAATTAATTTTATAAGCCGTAGTCAGGTAAGTAAGTAAATCCTCGTCATCTCCAATGAACTGGTCGTCAAAAAATACAGCGACGTTATTGGTTAACGACCATAGTTGTCCTCCATGCCTTCTTTTCATCTTAAATTAAATTAAGTGAACATGTTTACTACAACCACATTGTGTCCAAGTAAGGCTCTATTTAGCTGTCTACTACCTATAGGTAGTTTTCTCTATATGCACTCTATCTATAGATAGAGTTTATATAGAAAAACTGTATCATTTTTAACATTCAAATTATTAAACTTTCTATTTGATTTACAATGCAAAATGACTACCAGACACAAAAAATTAAGACATGTTTTATATTTGCACACGATTTTTTTTCCTTAAGTTATGCGTGATTAATGTAATTAATTAATAATTTTAATAAATTTAAATATTTTTAAACTGAAATAATTAAAAAGGCATTTATTTATATTCCAATCTAATCTAGGAATAATTATGTAAATACATGTTTTATTAAAAAAAGCAGCCACAATTATTTCATCAAATATGCCACGTGCAAACAAAGGAAATGCCTGTCGTTGACCTCCCAGACAAATTTAAAAATGACAAAAAAATCCCGCCTGTAGGGGGGCAGTTAATTTGGGGGAAAAAATTAATCTTGCCGCCCCTAAAAAAATTATGCGCCTTCGAAAATTTTGTTTTGACCCAAAATAGTTGTCATAATTTATATAAGAAAAAACAAACAAAAATTCGAAAAAAAAAACAAATGCAATTGATAAGGGTTTGATTTAAATTTTTGAAAAATTTAAAAATTTGTTCCACCATTTTATAAATTTATGCCACTGTGCGGATTTGTCCTACAATTTTTTATATTTATCCTACTGTGCAAATATTTCATCCCATTTTTTTTAAATATATTTATATATTTATAAATTATTTCTGACCAAAATTGAATTGTCATAATTTATCTAACAATAAACGAAAAAATGTTCTAAGAAAGATAGGTAAAGTATAGTTTACAAAATCTAAAAAAAATTCTGCCCACCATAACCCATCGTCACCCTAATATAACAAGGTTGTATGTTAAAAAACCGAAAAATTTGAGTTTATGCTTCTACAAGGTTTTATGTAATCCACCCTTGACATACCTACAACTTAAAAATAACTCTATATACAGGGTGTTATGTAATTAATGTTATATATTAAAATGGGTTGTTCCTTAGGGTTCATAAAGAAGCACCTGAAACTTTTTTTTTCTAAATTCCAAAGTCTAAAAATAATTTATAATAACCTTTATCCTACCAAAAAGTACGCCACTGATCGACTAGGAACTTTAGGTTAATCTGGTGGATTTATTATGTTATGGTTGGTAACAACATTGTTTCCAAAATCTCTCAAAAAAGTTTACAAACATTGTTTAAATTTAGCTTAATTACAAAAATGACAAAATTAACAATGCAAATTGTCAATTTGGCGTTTTTATTAATTGTTGGTTATGTCATTTTTGTACTGAAGGTAAATTCTAACAAAATCTGCCAACTTTTATGACAGAATCTAGTGCATTTTTTTTAAATTTTAGGTTATGTTTTCAAATTGTAAATATCTTAACTAAGGGAAGTGCTTTTGGATTTATTTACACAAATTAAATGTTTAAAGTTTAACCTGTGAACTGGTCCCAATTTCATCCGAGTAAACAGAGAAAAAAACTGATGAAAAAATTAATTTTGTGGTTATGGATTTCAAATTTCAAAGGTACTAAATTTTCTAATCATTGCTTAAGCTAATAGCTGGATCAGTAAATAAATACAGAAGGGTATTAGAGCTTTAAGGGCATACAACTTTTGTATTTATTGAGTTTTTATTTATTTTTTGCAAGAAAAATTTTTAGTAACAATTTTTTACATCTGGCAACGCATAGCTACTTTGTTGGTTGGTATCTATGTACTCACAAAATACAAGTGTGCAGAGATAAACCTAGTGTGTAACCAGTTGCGTATCACAAAAAATATAAAAAACTTCTAATGCATTTTTTCTTTATCTTTGGAAAAATGTTTTTTTAAATATTTTTCCTTCATTCCTTATGTCAAAAGGTATTCAGTATTTTAATATATAACATTAATTACATAACACCCTGTATATGTAAACATAGAATATACATTCTATAGAATTATTTTTAAGTGGTATGGGAAGCGTAGGCCACGTATAATCCTGTAGAAACATAGACTTAAATTTTTCGTTTTTTTTAACATTCAACCTTGTTATATTAGGGTGACGCCATTATAATTTTCCCATGTATTTTGACCCACTAAACACAAAAATCACACTCAATTTTTTTATGGAAGCGTTTTTGAGATACATATGAATTTTCAATTATTTTTTTTCAATTTTTAGACCTCAATTTTTGCCATAAAAACGAATTTTTTAAGTTATCAAAATCGCTAGCATCAAAATCCTTTTCCATTATCAAAAGTATGTAGAAGAAAGTTTTATAGAGCTCAAATACATTCAATTTAAGGGCTTGTTTGGCCAAATCGATCAATTAGATTTCAAGCCATACTCAAAAACGTCAAAACACCCCAGAAAATTAAAAAAAAAAACAATTCAAAATTCATATCTCGAAATCGCTTCCATGAAAAAAAAATTAAGTGTGATTTTGGCGTTTAGTATGCCAAACCACACAAGAAAATCATAGTGAGACATGGTGGGAAAAATGACTGTAAACTAGTGTAATTAATGCAATTAAAAGGGTTTGATTAAAAAAAATTTAAAATAAAAAAAAAATCCACCATTTTATAAATTTATCCCACTGTGCGAATTTGTCCTACCATTTTTTATATTTATCCTACTGTGCGAATTTGTCCTACCATTTTATATTTTTCGTGAGACGGCGTCGCCTGCTAACATTTTATTCCAACGCTCCAGAAGAAGTTAAACTTCGAAAACGTTTTTTTAATGTCACCAAATCCCTTAGAAATCCTTAAAAAAGTTTCAAAAAACCTGTATTTTGATAAAAAAAAACAAATTGTTTGCTAATTAATTAACCAATTGGTTATTAAAAAGACTATTTTTTTCGTGGAGTTCGATTCCAATCTTGCTGATCAATAATACATTTTTGATCAAAATAAATGTAATTTTTTTATACATCTACAGCCTCAATTCACTGTTTCTCTACACCCGACATTACCCCCAGAAAATCTTCAAAAATTTGGTGAGCAGAGAGACTCATACCAATGCAAGATTTTCCAATATTATAACAATGTCTATAAACTTACTTTAAGAATATACTCGTCCCACTGTAGGTCAAACATGGGCCTAATTTCGGGCGCTTGATAATAATTCGGTACGGATTTGTGCAGTTTTGTTACCAAATATTTGCTCATTTGATAGCCATGATTAACCATATGTCCAACCACTGTAAATTTGTGTAAAACGGGGGGCGTATCTTCGTCATCGTCCATGACTGGGTTTTGGAAAAATTAAATTTTGAAAAATTAAATTTGGAAAAAGTTAAGACTGATTTTTTGACAGATAACCTACAAGAATAATTTGACAAGAAATGTTATGTTTTGTTTAAGATGTCATGAAATAAAATCCTAATATTTTAAAGAACACAATTTATTAATTCTTTCATAGATCAATAGACATAATTCAGTTATGTGTATAAATATTTTTTGTAGAGAGTACAATCACATAGACTTTTTGATATGTATTTCAAATTACATAGAACCTAACGAAGTACGTAATATACCTAATAAACATTTTAAATTGCGATTAGAAAAAAAATACATAAAAAGTAGAAAAAAAGCACGTAATAATAATCATTATTACCTATAATACAAAAATAAATTTAATATAGTTACATATAGAAACATACAGGCCCCAGAAGTCGCGCACCACCTTTAAGGATGATCTACAGACCACCAAAAAATGTTACAAAAAATCTACCTTCGTGATTTAAAAAGATATAAGAGCGTAAACATTGAGATTTAAACCTAAAAATAATAGGTTCATCTTAATTACATTCCCTTATTATATAGATTGGGTCTAATGATTGTTGACATCACACCATAGACAATATTGACAGATAAATATCAAAACTATTTCTTTAGTGAGTAATAATACTCACTAAATATGTATGTTGTGTTTGGAGAATGCTTAAAAAATGCAATTCATTTACCTAAAGTGACCAGATTCTGTCAAAAAATAATGGGTCATTTTGTGTAAATTTACCATTTGCATTGTATCAATTTTGTAATTAAGGAAAATTCATACAAATGTCCCCCTATTTTTTGACAGAATCTGGTCACTTTACATTTAGTCTGTGTGTGTGTCAATTTGTTTAGTTTTTCTTCATAGATTTAATCTATGGTTTTATTACTGACTAAGTTTTAAAAAATTATGGAAAAAACTTTTTTTGCAGGAAAAATTGGCTTGTTTGGGAAAAATTTAATTTTTTTTTTTGGAAAATGATGATGCTGTATACAATTATAACTATCTCAGTCGATAATAATATGGAACTACTTTATTTTGGGTCCAATATAGGACAAAAAAGTTCGCACGTTACTTTGGTGGTAAGATTTTTTTTTGTTAAGAGCAGGGCTTTGTTTAAATTACAATAAAAAATATTTCTAAAAAGTGTACAGATTAGTGTGTGGTATAAATGTGCTCCTCGTGGTTTAAACATTGTCACTTTAATGCGTTTTAATTTTAATTCTGAAAACAAACAGTAAAATGGCAGTGTCCAATTACTGGTTGGTAAAAAATAAAAAATTTCTATTATTGGACATAAGTCCAATATCGTACTCTATTTATATCCCGGACATTTACCAGCCAATTCTTATGTAAAATTGTCCCCTGAATCCGAAAAAACCGTCAAAAACTATAAAAGTTAAGCAGTTTTTGAGATATATTTAATTCCATATTATATGTAAAATTGATTATATTTCAAAAACTGTTCTACTTTTATAACTTTTGACGACATTTTCGGAATCAGCGAATAATATTTCATAGGAATTGACTGCTAAATGTCCTGGATACAAATTGCTTTTGACGAGAGTTATTAGTGGCTGCTTTTTCGCTGACATTTTTGACTAATTCATTTTTAGAGAGTAAGTGATATAGTGATTTCTTCGTCACAGGACATCTTGCAGAATAACAGTGATTTAAATACAGTGCATGATAGAGAACATAAAAAACTAATATGATATTTACAAAAACGAAAAAAAAATTACCTAAAACAGCAATTTTTCTTTGAAAAATATTTATTAATTTATGTTATTTAATGTAAAGTTGTTATGTTTATATAAAAATTGTATGTCCAATAACTATGGTCCATGTGTCCAATTACTATATAAAATTTCCAATTACTATACTTTTTTGCATGTTTTTATAAAACTATTATTAAAAATTCAAATATTCTTATTTTATTTTATGTGGTTTACACATTAGAAAAAAGTAGCAATCAAAAACTTGACATTATTTTAATTTAAAAAAATATCCTTTATTACAAAAAAAATAAAACTAAACATTGAATTAAGTTAAATTGATTAAAAAAAATAAATGTAAACCTGAAATATAATGTTTTTTTAAAAGCGGTCCATTAAAAATATCCAACTATAAAATAATAGTAATAAAGTTAAATTACAAAATTATAATTTTATAAATCGAAGTGGTAAATAAAATGTATGTTAATACAGCACCGAATATGTTTTTTTGTGGCCCGGTAGAATAATTATTCGATTATAATCGTACTAAATTAAAATAAAAGGAATAATTAATATAATTATAATATTATGATTATATCAGCGAAAATTGACATTTTTTCGTATTACCCTTTGAATAAAATTTTAAAAATAAAAGTAAATTTTGCAATTTTTCTGTTTTTTTTTTCGAAAAAAAAACCGGTTCTGTTCTCATGATTATTAAGAAAGAACACACCAATAATTTAGTGCTTATGTTGCCATTTAAAAAAATATGTATCCCCTGTATCTTTTTAAATAATTAAGGTAGAATTTAACAAATGTCTGGAATTCCTGGAGGTCTGTAGATGAGTCGCTATAAGGTGCTGCGCGACTTTTGGACACCCTATATATTGCACCTCGACTGCAAAAGTGACACATCCCAAAATTTGTCAAATTTGGGATTATGTTTTAAGCAACTATTATAAAGTCCTTTCATTTAGACGGACAAAAAAAACAATTGAAACGAGGGATCGAGATATTTTCAGGTGTCCAGCGCGGTCCTTATTGGATAGATTGGATAAGTACGGCCCTGTTTAATGTTTTCTTTTGAGTTTTGGAATATCACGTGCAAATTTGACAATGTTTCACTCTTGCAGCCGAGGTGCTATATACATATAAAGTTTTGGCAAAATACTGTATTATTTAATTATAAATTAAGCGAGCCAAACGGAGTGTTCCAACGTTAAGGGTGTATATTTATATAAAAATAGTTTACCAAAATATAACCCTGTATTTTTCAAGTATTGCACAATTTTTGGATACTTTTGTTTCTTTAACAGCCCCTTAACATTAAAACCCCGTTCATTCACAAACATTTGGTATCTGTTTTTAATGTAAATAATCGATCGGTCTCCACACCTCCAAGGTGCTAGTATCGGTGGCCCTCTCCACCTCGGGGGGGTTCAAGCTCTGCACGTCCCCCGCGGGGGTGAGGGGGTACTCCAAGGACCTCGTCGGGGGGTACATGATGAGGGGGGGCTGGTTGATAAATTGCTGGTTGTTGTTGTTGCTTATGTAGTAGTTGGATGCCGTCCAGGGGGTCTGCCAGTAGGGGGAGCTCTGTTCGTATCGCGGTGCCCCCGTCCCCCCCTCCATGTCCGATCGTATGCTGTTTATCGAGGGCGGCGGGGGAGGGGAGGTCAAAGATGTGTTGATGTATTCCTGGGAGCTGTAGTTGCTCACCACTGAAAAAAATATAATAGTATTTTATTATACGAGAGATAATGCAGGCTATTATTAACATTTGCATATCGAGCCCTCAGGCGAGAGACGTAAATCATCCGAGTAAATAATGCGCATTATTTCGAGTGTAATACTATGCTTTTTCCACTCCAACTAAGTAATTTTCATTGATAAGAAAATTTATTATAACCGCACTTTTTTCCGATTTTAAAGATCATTATAGTCGCCCCTCGTATATATAAACAAATCTGACATTTGTTAACCTTACTTTTTACCAATTTAAAACCCGATTGGTTAAAATAACAGTGAATATTGAAATCGGCCAATCACTGATGCCTAACAACGTGAATAATGAGTTCAATATGCAAGAATATGCAATAGGAGTAGAAAATAGTTCTTTATGTCATTAGGTTAAGAAGTAAGGCTTTTTGTGCTAAGCTCAAGGTTTGAAGGCCAACGCGTAGCGGAGGCCTACAATTGAGCGAAGCACAAAAAGGCACTTCTTGACCGAATGGCATACAACATTTTATCTTCAAAGCACTTTATATAGGTCAATTTAATTCAACATCAAAGCGGCCTAACCTCACTTTTTTAGAATCTCATTTGTTTATTAGCTAAAGATTACATTATATGTACAATAATTATTATTGCTTTTAGAAGCAGTAATAGTTTGACAATACCTAGCTACATGATTTAAGTAGAAATGGATTTTTGCTATACATTGAATTCAATTAATTGTTAAATAGGTAGGTATCTAATTTCAATTTTTTGGAATTTTATTTAAAAAATAGGTAGTTTGGATTGTTTAAGCTGTGTTTAACATTTAATTTCACTAAAAACTTAAAGCAAATTAAAAAGATAATTTAAATCGTAGAAAAAGAATCGTGTTGGTTGCCTAACCTCACTTTTTGTTTTATTATTCATATTTAATTTTACAATAACTTAATGAAAAATATTAAACATTAACAGTAAAACAAACAAATTAGTGCTTATTATAAATAAATTAAACACGTTAATTTCTTAGAAATGAATTAATTTGTCAAAACAATACCCCTAGCGAGAAAAAATCGAACTAATTACTTGCCTCATAAAAATTTTTATCGGCCTAGGCCATAACAAGGTATTTCTTTATCGAATGTTGACAACAATAAAGTTTAAATTATAGAGCGCGTGGAGATAAAAATATTTATTTTTTAATGTCACTTAAGTAACTTAAGTTAAGTTACAATTGTAAATAAGGTCCATTTTTCCCACTTTTTTATGTAAATTTAATCCATAATATTTTTAAGATTGTAAAAGAAAGTAGGTAGTTAATATTTATAAACTTAATAATAATTTTGTAATCTAATCTATGAATACTTTATGATTATCTATGCGTTAAATAAGTAAGCAAATCATGCAAAAACATGAGACATATTTAATTACTTAAAAAACTTCGCCACAATTATGATATCAAATATTTTAAATATTCATAGACATTAAGGAAAAATTGATTAATTCATTTAAAATTACTCATATGTTTTGTTTAATTATATTTAAAAAATTCGTAATTATATACATATGTGTATAAGTGATAGATAACATTTATGAAGTAAGTATCAATAATTAAGTTAATTTAAAACACTTATACAGAGTGGTTCAAAAAACATGCGCCAATGCTCGTAAAAAAAGTTCATATAAACGTATTTCCAATCGGTACTAAAATTGCTCCTTATAGGGGAAACAGGGGGTAACTTTTTCCAAAAATAGGTAGATTTTGTCTAAAACGATTTTTCATATTTGTAATAGATGGCGCTGTAATGAAAAAAAATCAATTTTGTTCGATTTTTCTTCTTATACAATTCTGCAGTAATTTTTCCATAAAAATATAACTTTTTTTGGTAATAATTATCTTATTCAATTAAATCTGATTTTTTTAAGTACCCACGATTTTTTAACTAATATTTAGATTTCCTTTGGTGGAAGTTTTATACATTGTTTTATTCGGTGATAATTATCAATTGCGCACCATGGTCACTTTTTACCTGCCAGCATTAAATCCTTTAATTTATTAGGATTATTGTACTATTTTTAATAAAAATACCTCATTTAAGGTAAAAACAACATTATTTTGTCAATTAATTAATTTAATCCTAATTGAGGTATACATTTTTTTTGTTTTCAGTGCGTTCCACCAACTTTAAATACCGACCTAAATTGGGTCTCATCAGTCTCGGATAACTTGGTGTGGTGAAACACACCCAAAACAACGGACTACCTGAGCTTATATACTAAGCTCGTTAGCCAACAGAGGCGAGATGTAAGAACATCACGTGATGAATTTTATCAAAACCCCATTAAAAAGTATTTTGTAACAATTTTTAAACAGAAAGAAGAATTAAAATACGTAATCCTACCTGTAGGTAAAAGTAGAGGTGCGCTATCCTGCAAATGAGGATCAAAACCATTCGGTGTGTATCCAGTAGTATACGGGGTGCTGTGGGAATATTCATGCCACGTGGAAGGGGGGCAATATCCTCCATCTGAAAAAAATTTAAAAAAATATAATTTGGTTATTTTTGCATAAATATAATTTTTAATTTTGGTCTTTATGACATGTTGATATAAAACAAAACAAACTAATTTAAGGCCAATTTTAGTTAGTTTTTACAGTAAGCAATAAAATAAAAATTAACTCAAATAACCAAAGTATAGGCACGGAGATATTAATGTAAGATAAGAAAACAAACTTAGTATTGGTGCTACTAGGAGAATATTAAATGTTAAACTTTATAGATTTTTTTTTAATTTTTTTGTCCCGTTAAATATCCCGTTAATTTGTTATTAATAGTTTTTTGCAATTGTTTCTACGTCAATATAAAGTAATTTTGTTATACTTATGGCGATGGCCTCAAAAATGCATTTTTGAGGTATATCCTGTATAAAGAAGAAACCTTATGTGACAAGTGACATGTTTAGTTTTTGACGTGAATACAAATCAAACTTTTCTTTTTTTATCTCAAACGTTGAATTAATTTTGCAAATAGATTACGTGTAAAATAGCAGGTACCTATAGGTATATCTACCTATTTAAAGTTTAAAAAAAAAAAAGTTTTTTAATTTTTGGTGGTATTTTTTTAAATATTTTTGCATGTAATAAAAATTATTTAAATCATCGTGTGTGCTAGTTTATTACATACAAAATTAAAAAAATTGTGTCAAAATATTAACATACAATCTTTTAGTCATACCTATAGGTACTTGAAATCAAAAACGTTTTCTGAATAATAAGTACTTGGTAAATCCAAAGCATTTCTCTTAAGAATTACTCATGGTGCAATGATTTGCAAAAATCAGTTTAAAATAAGTAGAAACAATAAAATACAACACCAAAAAATAATTGTTAATTTGTTGCCAATTTGAACAAAATAAGTATTATGTAATTTCTCAATAGGTACTTTATAAAGTTTATGTATCTATACCTTTCTAAAATAGTGTTTTAAGTGTTGTGTAAGCTTTTTTTAAATATATGATTTTTAAATATGCTGCATAAGTAAAAAGACGATTATTTAAACTTGTTCTTTAACCAATTAGTTGTATTTAAGGTTACTACACTGTTCAAAATTTCATGACCACCAAATTAACACCATACATGGTCTATATTGATACAAACCAAAATGGTGTTAAATATGGTTCGTTGGTCCAGTGTAAATTCAAATACTAAAATAGTGTAAATTTAACTTTCACACAGTATTAAAATAAATTTTACCTGGTGTAAATTAAACTCCTTTTCAGTGTTAAATATTATGTGCATTACTAGTATTTAACCAGTGGTATTATTCCAGAAAATTGAACCTTCAACTCGCTAGAGATAATGTTTTTAGTGCGTTCCACCAACTTAAAATACTTCAAGTATTGACAGCTGTTTCCACCTATTTAAGGTCTGTTTAGTATCGAACAATTGTAGTGTAACACCAAAGCAAAGGACTACCTGAACTTATATACTCTTCATGTAAGTCAACAGAGGCGAGATTTAAGAACATCACGTGATCCACACCGCCTTTGCCGCGATCGGTACACACTATGCAACCAGGAATGCACGGCAAATTGTTTTAATCGTTTTCACAGAGTGCTTTAAGTTGAAGTAACTCTTATTTTACAAACAACATATTTATTAAACTAAAGTTTTCTGGGTTAATTTAACCAATTTAAAAAAAAAATAACTATTTGGTTTAGCACCGTCAAACTATTCTTTGTTTATATTAACCTTCCCACAATAAGTATTAAGTATTGATATTCTTTTTTATAGTAACTTGTCATAACTCAGTCAACAATTTATTATTTTTTTAATTTAGAATAGGTACATTAAAATAATAATTTTAAGTTATATTAAAACTGTTCACGATTTTTATAATGTGGTATTTAATACTAAAAGTTTGGGAATAATTAATTACCTAACAGTATTGAAAACAATTGTTAACTCTTCAATATTATTTTTTTATAAGTCGGCTATATATAGCTATAGCTATATGTATTTATAATTTATGTCATTTAAGCTTTATGCCATTCCCCCGGTGTTTATTAGATTTTTTGTAACCATTCCCAAAACTATTCTCTCTCTATAGCAAATTTAATGTTGTAATGTATACCTATAGGTAAAGTAATTAATAAAAACACGCAGTTCTGAATACATTGTATTTATACCCTATAGGTACCCCAATTTAGCGTTTAATTTTAAGGTTCCGCATTAAATTGCAAGCGGTCGAAAAAATTACAGGGTAACTCGTAAATAGCCTGCTAACCAAAATAATTCTTCCGGATATTTAACATTAAATTATACTAGGTATACCTATAGGTATATTTTACGGCGTTTTGTGTAAAATTTATAATAAGCGATTAATCTGATTGAAAAAATTCGTTACGGAAATCTCAATGGCACAATAAAAATGGTAGAAATATTTCCACGATTCTCGAAAATCTGATATTAAATTCTGTGAAACCGTTAAAAAGATTTCTTTGTTACATCTATAGAAATTTGTACTGAATTCTAAATTTTAGGAATTATTAATATTCAAATTGTTGGCAAATGTTATATTATATTATACAGGGTTAAATTTAGTCAAAAACATTACAAATCTCGAAAAATTATTATTTTGCGACTTTCAATATGTTTCCAAAAAGGCACAAATTGGGGTAATTATTATAAAAGGTATAACATTTCCCTAACTACCTTTAAATTACCGCCCTTGGGTGATTTGACATGGTGGTCCCACAAATGTCATCGCGTTAGCCGGCAATTGTTTCGCAGTTTACCTACCAAGACGAATTTTGCAAAATCCCATGGAAACAGATGACTCTTTATTGCCATTTTTTATTTTTTATAGTTGGCGGGACATAGCGTCGCAATTTATTCAATTTATGCTCTTTTGATTAAAATAATTAAATTCTATAACAGGTATAAAACTATACCCAATATATCATTCGACTAAAAATAGGTAGATTTTGTCTAAAGCATTTTTCATATTTGTAATAGATAGCGCTGTAATGAAAAAAAAACAATTTTATTCGATTTTTCTTCTGTATACGATTCTCCAATAATTTTTGAATAAAATACTTGGTTTTAATTTTTAAATTTATTTATTTATTTCGTTTTAATATTCTGCTAAAACTGCTCTGGGGTATTCCCAAATCTCTAGATACCAAATTCTCGTGTGCTTGCATGAGGATTAGCGGCCGTTGCTCCTAATACATTTTATCCGGAAAACGCTGAGCGTAGATTTTAACAGCATCATCAAGATTCCTGCCTGCTTCTCCATAAATCAAAATCATTTCTATTTTTTCTTCCACTGTTAAAAAAATGAATAACTGCTTTTTGTTTGCAAATTAATCTTCGAACTAAATTGTAAATAATGCTAAACTATAAATATACAATAATAATTATTATTTATAAATAAATACCATTTTTGACAAAATATAGTTTTTTTACCTTAAATGAGGTATTTTTATTAAAAATAGTACAATAATCACTTAAATTAAAGGATTTAATGCTGGCAGTTAAAAAGTGACCATGGTGCGCAATTGATAATTATCACCGAATAAAATAATGTATAAAACTTAAACCAAAGGAAACTTAAATATTAGTTTAAATTAGTATTAAACAGTTTTACAAAAAATTGTTGGGCCCAAATTCTAACCATGCTTTGTGCCTACGACCATGAATCACACATCGATACGCATATGTGTTAAACATGACAAATGACTCACAACTAAGCGTGACGTAAAATTAATAATAACGCATTAATAGAATTACTACCATACTACCTAATGAGAATGCGGTTACGCTAAAATCTACTATTTGCGTATAATTTTTCAATAATGCTGGTTAATGTAACAAAATAAAGAAACAATGTTGCCATTTAAACGCAGACCGCAACCCATTCATTATTTGGTAAGGAGTCTGTGAAACCGCGTTTCAGTGGTAATGAAGGGGTAGGTAAAGAAATGAACGATTTAAGCTCATTTGTTTTGACCTTAATTCCCATACAGTGTAAATATAGTGGGCCAACAAATCTTAACAATCCTTTGTGCATATGAATTATTTGTTTTTAAGCATTAAAATGATTTTATTGAGAGATCTAAGGTCATGGATATACTAAGAACGTTAACTGCGTCTATGCAATAAAAAGAGTAATTATAGAAAAGTTTTTTCAAATGCTTTGTTTATTTAAAAACCGGTAAGAAATTCCCCTAAGAGTTTTTCCCAATACAGAACTACGTAAATCTACGATTGCATCTATAAATATTAATATTAAATTCATACCCATAATATGTAATTTGTTTGTGTAATATTTATAACTTTTCTCTTCGATGTAACGTTTTTGTGGTTAAACAGATGTTTACGAAAATTAAATTAAGTATTATAATAACTGGGTTATATTAATATCGTTTTCGTAACACGATAGGGCATTATTTTGCTTGAAAAAACAATATGTAGAGTACGAAAATTTGCACTTCCTTATTACATACGATTTGATATTGGATAAGACAAAAAATACAACGAAATGCAGAACTTTAGGGTTTCCTATGGATTTAATTTCAAAAATCTCTCTCCCCAGTATAACTGAATTTCTCATGAAATTTAACCCTTTCACGGTACGACACGAATATACAAGGCGTTCTTAAAAAGGCGCGTCGGTATTTTAATTTGTACATCCGGTCAAGTTTGCGGACTATCTGACCGATTCCACAATTTGAAATGAATAAATAGATGTAGAAATTATGTGTCGGATTTTAATAACCGGTAAAAATTGTTTAAATCGATTCGTTGGCAATATTCAACCGTTAAAATGTATAATTTAGATATGAAAATAAACATAAAAATATTTAAAAATTGACCTAATGTACTTTTAAAAAAGTTTTAAAACTCTAAACTTCTAAAATTTAAACTATTAAAAAAATTATAGTTATTGTATTAAAAGTATTAAAACTTTGCGACAAACTCGCTAGATATATATATTAATTAATATTCTGCAACCATTTCTCT